TTGACCGGTCCGATGACGGTTCCAGATCGTTGTGGATTTCGATAAACGTCAAGTTAATGTCGATATTTTGATTGTTGTTGCTGCTGCTGCTTTGTTGTTGGTCTTGGTCGACTCTAGCAGTTGTTGAGGTTGTCACAATAAGAACGAGGAAAAGGAGAAGGGTGGTTGATGAGTGAAGGGAAGTACGCATGATGCTTGTTGATTTGTCCGCTTGAGATCTTGTCTTGGATTGTCTTAATTCTCCATTGCATTGTTTCATTGTATATATAGTAGATGTCGTTGATGTTGAATTGGAAATTCTGGCACTTTGAGGAGCTTATAATTGCTGTATACGTAAGCATTTAATTGAAAAAAATACAATAGATCCGTTGAAAAATATAAGGTTTTTTAAGAAGAAATACAAGTTTTTTTAGTTTTTCAATATGTATGCAATTAATGATTTTTTTGATTAATATATATATGTATAATAAATAAATCATTAACCTTTCATTTTTAAAATGAAACAACTTATTAAACAAGCACAAACATAAAAAAAATATTAATTTAAAAACAATTAACTAAAATATTTACAATGTAATTCGATTGAAATGCTTTATCTGCACTAGCGGGGTATATCTGTATTAATAGATGATATTCAAGTATTACTGTGCTCAATTGGACATGAAATCTTCCAAAACCTTTTACTATTTTTTATCCCAAAGTGCTAACCATTCAATGTTACATTAAATATAAATTGGCTTTGACCACTTGATTAGTTATGGATTTGGCATATATGCAAGCATTTAATGTTTTAAATTTATGTATGCAAAATTAATGTTTGACAATTTATGTTTTTCACAATTAATGTTTTCAATTTATCCCAAAGTATTATTCTGATGCATGCTTTCTTTTGTTTTTTGGTTTTTTTTTTGCAATTTTCTCATTCCCTCCATGTAAATCATTTTTCTAATATTAAATGTTCAAAAGATAAAGCTTTTTCAGTTTTTCATGTGTACCTAATTAATGAGCTTTTTTTTTTCCTAAAAATATGTTTAATACTTAATTGTTCACCTTTAAATAACCTTATTAAATAAGAATTATTAAATTCTATATTTAGTTCTTTAACTTTATACAACATTTTATTTTAATCTTTTAACTCTATAAAGTGTCTTTTTAGTCTTTTAATCTTAATACTATTATTTTTATCCCAATAAATTTTTACATTAAACTTTAAATATTGATAAAACATTCTCAAATGTTGACATATTAAGTTTGATTTTTTTTTCAAAATAAAAATGATTGACATAAAAAATAATCATTTGAAATTAACGATGTAAAAGTTAAAGAATTAAAAAGATACTTTATACATTAAAAGATCAAATTAAAACCTTATATAAAGTTAGAGGACTAAAAGTACTTTAGCTAATAATAATAAACATGAAAAGATTATTTATTCACTTAACTCTTTACCTTTAAATGAGACATCCTATTAAGTAAACATAAATATAAAAAAATTATATAAATTTATAGACAATTAACTAAATTATTACCAAAAAAAAAAGATAATTAACTAAATTATTTGGGGTGTATTAATTTGATTAAAATTCTTATACTTCCTTTGATAAGACAGTTTTAGAGAAGATTTGATATCCCAAAATATAAGACACTTCAATAAAAATAAAGTTTTATTAATAATACTTTTTCTATATTACCCATTCCATATGTGATATTTCTTTAATATTCTTTTATAAATGGATTATTAAATAGAAGACAATTTTGTTTAAAGTTTATATTTTTATCTTAAAAAAGTAAAGTTATAAAGTATATTTAATGAGCTATATTGATACATATAATTTTATCTAAAAGTGTCCTATAATTTTAAATAAAAACAGTATTTATTAACAAGAGAGAATCTAGTATTACTAGGTTAGATTCAATTATTATTGTGCTCAATTGGGCGGGAGATAACTCTTCCAAAATCCTTTTTTATCCCAAAGTTCTAACCATATTCAATGTTACAATAAATATAAATTGAATTGATGTTCACACTATAGGCCACTTTTATAATAGAGAATATTAATCATTTGATCTCTATGATTTTGACTTTATTGTAACTTAAGTTTTGAACTTTATCTTGTTGTAACTGATCAGTCCTTAAACTTTAACTCGGTCATGACTCAATCTTTGAATCTTCACTCACTATAACTCAATCGCTACAGTTTTAATCATTTAAAATATTAATCTCTATATTTTAAAAAATAAAATTAGGAAGATTAAATCTTTATAATCTTTATCAAATTACATGTTTTAGTAACTTAAAATTAATGCCTAAATGCCCACATAATTTTAATGTTTATAATTTTATTTTTAAGATACAAGGACTAGTTTAAGGATTGAGTTACAATTAAATCAAAACTTTAAAGACTGAGTTACAACTAGGTCATATTTTAAGGACTAAATTACAACCAAGTTATACTTTAAGAACTAAGTTACAATGAGTCAAAATTTAAGAATTGGATTACAACGAGTCAAAATTCAAGGATTGAGTTATTATTGAATTAAAACTACATGGACTAAATGATTAATTTTCTCTAACATGTATCATTTATATTAAGGGAATTTATTTTTTTGCTATGTGATCTAGTGAAAATTTGACTTAGTTTTTCAATTTTATCCTTACCATAATTAATTCAATTTTATCCTTACCATAATTAACACCTAAGTCAATGCACATAAACTAATACAAGAGTGGAACAACTTTTCTTAACACTATAAAATTCCCTCTATTTTGGAACAAAAAAATAGCTTGTAAAAATGTGTTACATTATGAATGAACCCAAGGGAGTAATACTCTACCCCTCTGTCCCAAATTATAAAATAGTTTTAAATAAAATCATATGTATCAATAAAGTTTATTAAATACACTTTACAACTTTAATTTTAAAAAATTATAAAATTTTAAAAATACCCTTCATTTAATATTTTGTTTATAAAATAATATTAAAAGGAGATAATGTAATAGTAAGGGTAATATTGAAAAAGTGTCATTAACGAAACTTTATTTTTGTTAAATTGATCTTATATTTTGAAATGTCAAATCTTTCCTAAAAATATCTTATAATTTGAAAATGAGGGTGTAATATTTTATGTCAATTAGGTGTAAAAGTAAAACCTTAAACAACAAGATGGAACGGTCATTATACAATAAAATTATATCAAATTAATTTAGGAAGAATTTCAATTAAGGACTAATGTAGAGACTTAATTTTTTGTGGATCCCACAAAATTTTAAAATTTTAGTTCAATCAAAGGGAGAAAAATTAAAAGAATTTCGATAGTAAAAATATTAAGATACTCTTCATTTGTTATACAGAATTACTAATCATTAATTTTCTTACTCCACTTGTTAATTTATGAATATAAGTTACAAATTACATGAGTTAACTTGTCAATAATTGTATAAAATTTGATATCATTTCTTCAATCATAAGTATCAGCATCAGTTGTTAATTTACTAAAATTAGTTATAAATTACTAACAGGTCATGTAATTTATAACTGATAGTAGTAAATTAACAAGTAAAGTGAGCTAATTAATAACTAATGTTATTGATTATTTAATAAATGGATGTAATTTATAAGTGATATTGGTAAATTAACGAGTGTAGTAAGAAAAATTAACAACTAGTGATTTTGCATAACAAGTTATGGGTATTTTGATTTTTTTACGGTCAAAATTTTTTTAACTTTTTTCTCTTGAACTGAACTAAAATTTTAAAAAAAATTCTGAATCCATATGAAATTAAGTCTCTACTATGTTCCTTAACTAAAATTCTCCCTTTAATTTACAACATTAAATCCATAGAAAATTATATTATTCACAATAACAATTATGTCACATATCTCAGTTTTGGTCTAATTCATTGGAGACTTACAAAAGTCATTCCATAAATTATACATTTCATTTTTATTGTCCCCACGTCTTATACTGAACTTTAAATTTGTATCAATTATTTTAAATAATTATGCTCTTATTTTGATTTCAGAAACAGATTAAAAAGTAATGTGTTCCTCAAATCCCAGCTTATAAGTGATTATTAAGTTGACAGGTCCGTGTATGCATTTCAATGCGTGTCCATGATCACGTCTTAGAAGCGAAGGGTTATGCGGAAGAAAATTAAAATAATTACGTACAAGTAATTTTTGTCCACAAACCTTAATACTTGGATTTTCTTAGTCCTTTTCACTAATTTCAATTATTTCAATTTTTGAGGTATTGTCCCATTGTTGGGTAATATAAGATGCATGGATATTAATACGGGTATCAGATATGTATCCAATATGTCGATACTTTTATTTTTAAAAAATATAAAATATAATACATTTTCGATACGTGTATATATATATTTATAAACAACCATAAAAATTTTTAAAATATAATTATAATTCAAAAAAATCCAAATAGCCATATATATTCCTTTATAATAATATTAAGAAAAATATAACCATTAATTCACTAGTAAAATATAGTCTATATATAGAGGTTATATTTGCAACTATATAGCTGTTGAAAACCACTATATTATTAGGCACTATATAATCTAGGTTGACTATATAATAGTTGAATAATTTTTTCAAAATTTAAGGAAAGCGAATATGTGTGCACACTATTCAGTGGTTATTTTTTAATAACAACTAAATAGTTTCTCATATTCAACAGTTATTTCAAAAAAAAAACTATCAAACAGTGTTCTTTTGTTTTGGTCAAAAAGCTAGAGGATTTGCCAGACATATTTAGTGGTTATTTATAAATAACTGCTATATGGTTCCATATATTAGCGATTACTCCATATGGCAAAAAAAAAAAAATCAACTAAAATTCAAATTCAATTGAATCCATTATTCAAACTTAGCTATAATAACTTCTAAAATCTATTTAAAAGTACTTCAAACTTCTTAAAAAATGCATAAACACTAAAGCAATTATAAAAAAATTTGCCAAAAATGTAACCTATTGCAACTTTAAAAGGCATACGTTACTAAAAACTTAAAGTTGGTCAAAGAATGCTTATTTTGAAAAAGTGCTAAGAACCTATTTACTAAAACAAAATTGATGAGGATATAGTAAAATGCCTGGTTGTGATCACTTGTTTTGCACCCATTGCTTGAGTAAACTCTCAACCAATTCTTCAAGGATTTCATCGATTTTAGCTAGACTATATTCCTCCATATATGAATCTTGGAAGTACTGTTAACATAACGTAAATCAAGTTTAATGTCAATTAAGTTATATGTAATATAATGGAAATTATTAAATTAAAGTTAAGAGAGTACAAATAGGAGACATATTTGGTTAGGCAAAATTCTATCAATCCACACATGGTTGATAATATCTTTCATGTACCTCATGATATTGCAGCCACAATCAACAACCTTGTCACATTGCTTTGGACACTTTTCATCATCAAACCAAAAAAATAAAATCAGTTATAGTATAATAAAATTAATTTCATTAAATAAATATTGAGGGTGACTATATACCTTAATTATCCTATAATCAAATGCATCTTCATATATGTGTTAGAGTTTCCAATTATAGGAAACTCTCTATGGCTTTTGAACAAGTGGATAGCCCTACACACATGACAATATGAAACTTTATGTGAAAAATCATAAAAAAATAATAATTTATACATATGTAGAGAAATTATTTAACTTGAAATGTTTCCAATTGTCCGAATGACCTCCAGTAGGATCAAGATACCACTTCATGCCTCCATATGGGTTGAGCACAAGTAGCATCCTATGAGCCTTATCACAATGAGCCCGCACCTAAAAAAATAAACATACACACATATATTAGCTTGTGTTAATAAAAAATAACTTAATTAAAAAAATTCAAATATGATTAATACCAAAAATGGTTCATCCATCACAAAATGGTGCCAAGAAAATTTGATTCTCCCAAGTTACAAGCTGGACTAGATAATTGATGATATCATTTGTTTTCTCTTCTCGTTACTCATTGTACCAGTAACCCTTGCTTGTGGGGGGTGGTAGATTGGAGATTTATCAAAATCAGTGTATCTGTGAGACCTTTAGGTGTTATCATCGTATTGTGCAAGTACCTTATACATCAAAATAATAAATAAATCAATCAAAATTGTTAAATATAAGTAAATTATTGAAGATAGTTTATCAATAAATATGTACCTCATAAAATGATTGCAAAGAAACGTGCTTGCATTCATATGGTTGATAACTTCTCCTACAATCTCACTATCGATGTTATCCCAGGTGCCAACATTACGATAAATCTCCTTCTTAAATGACACTGTAACACCATCATAAGATTTTACATAATGATCTAACATTTCATGATTCTTTGTGGAGGGTGCTTGAACAATTTGAACCTTAGAGGGGGCCTTTAGTGTAACCACCTTAGCCTTTGATGCAACTGTTAAGGTAGCCACCACAACCTTTGATATACCCTTTGAGGTAGGCTTCACAATAGGCTTTAGGGACGAAGGTGAAGGGGTAACTAATGGATATGTGATATAATTTTTAGTCCGCTCAGATGTCTTTTGCTCTTGCCCTTGCCCTTCAAGGATGACTCTAGCAACTTGTCACCAGGCTGCAAACATATTGTTAGTGATTAGTTTGAAAATAAGATAAAATGATGAGAAATGTTTAATTAATTTACATTTTCCTTTAGTGCTGGAACCCATAGTGGATGAGCAAGCTAAGCCATGAAGCTATATAATGCTTCTTGTATAGTTTTGCATTTGGTGTAGGCATTGGTAGGGATAATAGGGTTCATACACAAACATCTGCTGTACCTTTACATGATTAGTAGGGAGGGGCATGGTGAAAATCATAATGCTCCCTACAGTATTGTGCATGAATTTAATTGTAACCACATACAAGTACAGGATGCTAGCCAGGCACTCAATCCTAACCTCTCCCTATACAAAAGGACAAAAGCATTATCCTACATGAGAGAAGAGTGAGAAATAAATAAAAAGAGCAAGACCTACATTTAGCATCATTACCTCAAATAGCTTTGGAGAGGTGATGCTCGTGCAACTTTCTTTTGCACTTGAAGGGCTAAACTCTATTGTAGAAATACCTAGCACACGTCCCTTGAGCAATATTTCAATGTATTTATTTTGCTACTCCACAACTGCCTAGGTGTTGTGAAGCTCTTACCATAACCAATCTATCTTTACAGAACCAAAAGTCTTCCTGGGTTTCTTTGGGGTCTTGACGAAGTACTCCTTCTTAGTTATTCTAAATCCTACACCTCGAACATGACCAAGGTAGTCAAACATCCTTGATGGAAGGTAAAGCTCGTGAGTCTGTCTCCTGAGATAAGGTCACTAGTGAATTATATAGAATAGAGAAAAGTAAATACAAATGCCTAAGTCTTGTAAATACGAATGAATAAAAAACTTATCAAACAATAAAAGAAAGGAAGTACTACTTATAATGTTGTCGACATCTTTCTTCACACAGGGGTCTAAAATATTTCCCTGATTATCTGTTGGGGCTAAAGCCTAAAGCTTACCATGAGATATAGAATCCTCTGATACTTGATCCTTTAACTAGTCTTTCTCAATAGCAGCATAGCTCTTACACCTTTTCAAGTAGGGATATTCATTCTTCTTTGCCCTCGCCTTGTTTATTGTGCTTAATTCCTATGAAAACAAAAACATTTGTGTCATTATAAATATATAATCAATAAAAACTAACATTGAGAAAGAAATATTACCTTGAATTCTTTACTATGATAAGAGCTAACAAACTTAGCCTGCTAATTTGAATTAATAACAAATCTTAGGATTGGGGAATTTCATCTTCAATGCTTGTTATGTCTAGGTTCTTCAAGAATTTTTAGGTAACCCATGCTTTGAAACTATGGTGGGAAGTCACAGCTTTTTGCAAAACAAACTTCTTTTGACTCTCATGAAGCTCAAATTCAGATTGTAAAAGAAGTTAACCATATTCTAAATTAGTTAAAATTTCTATATAAAAAAAGTTTTAAAATGACAAATAAGAAATATCTTACCTAGACTATGTTCTAGACTAAATCTTTTAATAAAGCAGGTGCCTTTACCCAATTCACCATACTAAGTGGTGCATTAGCTTCGACAACCACTCCAATATAGGTCACCAAGTTTTCTGAGTCAATGCACTAGCCTCTGTCATTCCACTAAGTAGATAGCTTTCTCCCAAGTGCTCTTGACCTCACAACATTTTCCATAACTACCAAACCTCTCCTCTTTACCCCACCTACCCAACTGATTGGAATCAATGGCAGAGGCAAGAATAGGATTACTCTATTGAGAGCCACTATTAGGAGGAGTATAATTATTATTTCCAATAGCCATTTAATCTCCTGTTCAAACAAAAATAAATAAAATTAAATTAAATCAAACAAATAAAATTAATAAAATTAAATCAAACAAATAAAATAAATCAAGAAAAAATCATTTACATGTTCAAAGTTGTTCCTTTTCTTTTCTTTATCTCAACTTTTTTCTTAATAATTTTTTTTAACAATTGCCTTCTTTAGTTGAAGTGATTTCCCCCTCTTTAATACCCAAATGCCCTCGTTGTGATCATGTCTCATGTAAAAAGTAGAACCTTGAGTATCAAAATCATCATCACTATTTTCTAGCCCTTCAAATGGATCATTTTCTATTTTGTTATTTTTTCTATTGTCTTCATTTTCTAGCCATTTCTACTATTTCCCTCATCGTTCTCTTTACAAAACAACAAAAATTCCTTATTAGTAGGATCAGGGACAAAAAAAAACTTGTTTAGCTTGGACTACAAGAATGAATGGCTTACTTTTATTATAACATCCTAAATTTCAATCTAAGGAACTAATTGCTAATTAAGGGTAGATTAGTAATTAATAGATTGATTATGGTTTTGGGTGTTGATTTAATGTATATTGTTGGTTGGTTAGTAGGGTTATAGTATCAGATCATAGAATAGCAATTCAAAATGAAATGTGTGTACATGAGTGAGCTTAACCTTACTGTGCCACACGCCATGGTAGGTGTTGCATGCGTCATGGCGTATTGCACATATTTTTTGTAACATCCTAGTTTTTAATCTTGTAATTAGCTATGATTTAGGATAGATTACTAGTTAGTAAAAGATTAGATATTTGGATGATTAGTTGATGATTTTTTTGGTCTTTGGGATATTGAATGTGTTGAACATAATGGTTTGTGATATCATATTTAGCTTAAGTTTTAATGATGATAAATATAGACGTATTAACTAATGCCTAATTGGTTTCATATATATAATAGTTAACTATGACTATGGAACAAGTGCTTTAAAGTGTTTTTACTTTTACTTATGTTGTTCCATATTACATAAGTTTTGGAAAAATGATTTGTGTGCATCAAAGTTATTTTATACTATCATATTTTTCCTTATCTTAAATAGATTCTATATCTAAGAGTGTTCATAGTATTATCTTTCATGACTTGGATATATGCATATTGATACTTGGACTAACCATTTTGTTCATGGTATATCATTTAAGGTTGTCCAAAGTGAAAATGAGAGTAAGCATGAAGAGGAACAAAGTTGAAGTCATTATTTTCATGCTACACTTATGATTGAAGAACATAAAGATAAAGAAAAGGATGATCCAAGAAGAGTTTAAGAAGAATGAAAACATTTATACAAGCTTGGAAGCCCTAGACTTCATAGGTATAATATCATTAGGCTAGAAGTCTTTATGTTAAACTCATTGATTTAAATATGAAGTATTAGCTCAATATATCTTAAATCAAAACATGCATTTTAGTTCTTAAGAGAAAAAGTGAGATATAGTTTTCTATAATCATGGTTTTCATCTTTGATCACATATATTTCACAAGGTTCTAAATATTTTAATTACTTACTAACTCTAGAAATTTTTCAAAGTTGCTCTATTTACTCAAAATGGAGTTAAGTTAAAAAATTTATGAACACTTGAACTCTAAGCTTTGAAATGTGAATTGTGCATAAAATCAATTTTGATCTTTAGTCATATTTCATGTGATATATCTCACTACAAAGATTATTTTAATGTGAAACATATGTTATTTGAAAATAAACTCTAATGTATTTTCAATCATAGTTTATTTATTCAAAATGGAGGTCTATTGAGAAAGATATGAACTTTAAAACTTGAGTGTTAAGATATTAATTTTGCACAGCCTTTAGTCTTGACCTTCGTACACTCTTTTGATCATATCTCAAACTATACATTAAAGTGTGGAACTTCTTTCATTGACAACTTGACTTCAAGATCTTTCCAATGGTATATAATTTGTCAAATGTGGAGTTATATTGAGTTAGGACATTATGAAATTTTGTTCAATGAAGTTGCTAAACCACACGTGAGAGCAGCAGTCAACTACACATGATTTAGCATCAGTGCTCAAACTCATGTGAGAGAACTTCTCAACCACGTGTGAAAATGCATCTAGAAGCTTATTTTTGCAACTAAATAAGCTCTATGTGCTAAATCATGCGTGATGCTACTTATCCCATATGAGAAATGACCTCCAGAAGCCTCATTTTCGCTGAATAAGTTGTATAAGCCAAATCACACATGAGGAACTTCCAAAACTCACTTGATATGTCATTTTTGCTTGAGAAACCTCCAAAACACGCATGATTTAGTACTGGTTACTCACGAGAGAATGCATCAGTAGCTATACTCACTATGTAACTTCTCTAAACAGTCATTTAATGTCTCTAACACATATTTCACTCTATAAGCTATAAATTTAATACTCCAAACTAATTTGAACATGAGATTAACCTTAGAAACCATTAAGCTATGAAATTCATGATCATATTGCTCTTATTGTATGAAAATTATTGTTCTTGAGCCAATATCATCCATATCTCTATCATTTGAGTATTAGAGAGAGTTTCAATTGAGTGATTCACATACTCAAAACCTTTGAAAATGTGAGGGAGAGATTTCCTTTGTAATCAAGAAATGTTGTTCTCTTGGAAAAAAAAGCTCATTAGTAGAGTGAGTTGTTGTAAAGACTCAAAAGTACCTAAACTGAACTTGTAGATGTACTGAGGTAACAAACACATACTCAAGCTTGTGTTTTAGCAAATAAATCTCAAGTAGTTGCTTAAAGACTAGATGTAAGTTTAAGAAGAGAAGCTGAAGTAGGATAAATCATTGTTTGCGATCTCTCTTTCCTTAACTCTTTATATTTCTAGAAACCTTAGTAAATGCTATGCTTAGTGTATGAAATTGAATTTGATATTTCTACTTACTCTTACTCCAACTTGCATCTAGAAATTGCTTCTAAACATTTATACACATATCTTAAGATTGTGAAAATAACTTTGGCATTCTTACCCACTTAGTTAAGAACTCAAATTTTCTAAAATCTTCTTTTGAACTTAGTTTTGTAGAATAGTTTTAAAAGAATCAAAATTTTCTCAAATACCCAATTCATCCCCCTCTTGAGTGTTTTGCCATATCTAACATTTAGTATCAGAGCTAGGCTCTTGGATAAAGGACTTAACAGTCTCAAGAGTTCCAAGTGGCAAGTTTTCAAGGTTTTTCAGTTTTTGAGGGGACTAACATTGAAAAACTTCCAACTCTTGAAAATATCAAGTTTTGGTTTTAGAAAGTGAGAATGCAATTTTACAATCTATTGATTTAGATATGTGAGAAGTTTTTATAAATGATTTTGATTTCAAACCTATAAGAGATTGGATTGAGAAAGAAAAGAAGTTGATTCCTTTGAACATTAGAGCTATAAAGATTTTATATAGTGCTTTAATTGAACCTGACTTTGTGAAAATCAAATATTGCTATAATATTAAGATTATTTGGGATACTCTTGAATCTATCTATGTTACTAATAATCTTATTGAGATTGAAAGTGTTGGCAGTTCTCCAAATCTTGAAGAGGACCAATGTTTACTAACTTTTGGACAATATATGGAAGATGAGATTGAAGAAGGATAAATCATTGATCACTTCCATGGTTTAGTCAATACACTTGGACAAGAGGAAGATGATCCCTAAGAAAAGGTCCACATGACAAATTTGATTACATCACAATTTGAAGCTCAAGAAAAATTTCAAATATATCATTTCAATCATTCTTGTGCATACAAGTCATATGATTTTAAAAAATTTTCATAGAATAATTTTCAAACCTTTAATTGATTCAGTTTTGAAAAATATAAGAAATTTGGATTCTAATTTTACTAGAAATGCTAGAAATACTTTTGAAAAGAGAGTATTTAGAAAAAGAGATTATTTAAAAAATGTTTCAAGCAACAAGCACATAAATTGCAAAAGTTTCCAAAATGCATATTATTCTATTATTTGCAATTATTATGGTAAGTTTGGACATGTTTCTGACACATGCTATATTAGAAGAAACTTTAATGTGAGAACTAAGTTTATATTTGGGTTCTTAAAGGACAAGAAAAGTCCAATGCAAACCTCCAAGGACCCAAAGCTAAATGAGTACCAAAATGTCCTCTTAGTGCTTTACTTGTACAAAACAAATTCAACAAAAAAGAGACAGCTTGGTACAAGAAAGGAAGAAGTCACCAAGAGAGCTTTTCAAGTGCATATGGGCGACACTTAAGAGTGTACATCTGTAAGGAGAACTCTCAAGACACCTATTACTGAGAA